CCTCCATGGACTGCATAGTTAGTTAAGGCAAACCTGAGTTGAGCAGGTGATTCATAACAATCTCCTAAACAGGGCCTCATTTCTTTCCAGTCAACATTGGGATCATGCACCCTATACTCGACACCAATATCTTCATCGTCCTCATCTAAGTGGGCATGCTCATTTTGTTGGACACGAGGAATGTCACCATCATCTACCATTCCATCAATATTCCTCCTTAATATGTTTTCGTCACACAATAAGTTAAGAAAATGATCATCACATAGATTTGAGGGGGCTTTGAAAATTTCTTCATAAAAATCCAAGAAGCTAAAGTCAAATGCATCATCATCGGAGTCAGAGTCTGGAAGATATGTCTTCTCAGGGAGCTTAGGCCCTTTACGCTTCTTAGTTCCAGAAGTAGAAGCCATATGTTTCATAAAAAAACAACTTGTTAGTTCAAACTTGGAACTCCATACTCCATAGACGAAGATAACCACCCTCAGAATCATCAACTTCTTGTTTCTATACACGTAACTTTCTACTCCACCTTACTTCACCAACGATTTCGGAGCTTCAAATTGCGAAATTAGGGACTATGAAACCCTTCTCGAATGCATGAAACCCTTTAGCAGTGATGGTTCGTGAAAGGTGATGGCTAGGGAATAAGTTAATGGTGACTGGTTGGAACAGGTTACCTGCTGATCACCGGGTATTAGCTCTCAAATGATAATTCCACGAAAATATCGTGGTCACAATAAACGAAAAATTAAATTCAGGGCTTTTCTCAATTTAGTTCCAAAAACATGGGACTTTAGTGATATTAGTCCATTTATCTTTTCCCTTTTACATATAAAATCATATATAGCAAATTTTATTATTTTTAAGATTATAAAAAATTTAAACATCTTTTAATTTTCAAATAAACTAAAACTTGGTATAATATTGTAGGGGCGACGGTTCATAGCACGACATGACAAAAATACACGACACGAAACAAAAATTTGGACAGAATTGAAATTACGAAATCATATTCGTGCGTTTTCATGTTAAATGTAAAACATACGATTCAATGTCATGTTGTGTTCGTGTTCAAAATTCTACATGAAATTGACAAGATAGTAACACGTGTTTGTCATATTTTCTTATTTTTCGTGTTTTGTAAGATTAATTTTGAATTACATAAACTTAAAGTTTATCGTATTGTATCTTTTTCGTGTTTGCCATTTTTATCATGTTTTGTTGTTAGTGTCTCGGAAAGGGTTGTGGTGGAGAACCGAATTTCCAATGGATCGCGTGAGTTCGCTTTTCGAGCTGATATTCTCACCCTATGTCCAAGTTACGGAAAATTCATTATAGGATAATCCAAAAGGACATTTGTGAATCTAGTTACAAAGACACAAATCAAATTACTAGACGATTATGAATTCATTATAGAAGAAAGAGAGCTGAGAGAAAAGGGCATAATCCACGACTCAATAGAGGAGTCATATTTATACTTTGACAGATTAGAGTTTTCGTCTTCTAAATTAGTTAAGAGAATCACCGACAAGGGCTCTGTCCCTTGGATCCCGCTAGGGGGCGTTGCCCTTAGGACCCTGAAAAGGAGCGTAACCCCTTGACCTATGTCATTTGTCGTACCGGCTTATAATTAAATCTTATATATGCATGCACTCCGCATTCACTAAACGTATAATATAGAATACAAATAATAAGTCTTTCAGCTCACATATTAGTTCCAATTACACAAAATATCTTGCGATACAAAAATCACTAAACATATATGGAATACAAATAATAAGTCTTTCAGTTCACATATTAGTTCCAATTACACAAAATATCTTGCAAAACATTTTGCGATACTAAAATCACTAACATTAATAAAGAAAACACGATATCATATCGTGTTCATGTTGTATAAAAGTTATCGTGTCAGCAAAAAACATGACACAAATGACTAATTTGCCACATGTAATAATGTGTACGAAAGCCCAAGAAAAAAAATTATCCATTTGAAAAGTAAAAACATCATCTTTTGAAAAGTAAAAACATCATCAATGTAAAGTCCATATTAAGGAGCTTGGGAATTTATTTGTTCGCGGTGCTTAAAAGAGCACATTTTTTTTCTACGGGGTGGGGATCGGAGTATATCATAAAGTGATTGCACTTTGTTTTTGCCATTATAAGATCAGTTATTAAAAAAAATGCTCATGTGTATACCATAAAAAGTGTCAGTCTTACATATCAAACAACTTCCTACAAGCAATTAATAACCATAAAACCCTTTACTACGAAATAACAAGGAACAAAATCCTCGAAATTAAAAGACAGCAAATAAGTGTTCTTCCTACTAAACACGATCGAACAACCAATTCTCGTATCCTCGGTGTCAATGAACTAAAGCAACAAAGAGCCATGTTTTAAAATAAACATTTAAAACTACAATTTTGTATAAATATAATGGTGGCCATTAACGACAAATATACACGATAGGATGGAATTGGAGTTTGAGTTCATGTTCAGGTCATTTTTATGTCAAATGTAAAAACACGACGACGTATCATGTTCAAGATTCTACACGAAATTGACAAGATAGTACCATGTGTTTGTCATGTTTTTGTGTTTATCGTGTTTTGTTAGATTAAGTTTGAATTAAATGAACTTAAAGTTTATTGTATTGTACCTTTTTTGTGTTTGTCATTTTAATCGTATTTTAATTGGTTTGTTTTCGAATTAGTAGAACAAAACACAACATCATATCCTGCTGTTGTGTTTGTGTTATTTAAAAATTGTTGTGTTAGCAAAAAAAAAAAAACACAACAAAACTGTTTGATTTGTCACTCTTAATAATATGTATGAGAAGTCCAAGGAAAAAAATTATCCACTTGAAAGGTAAAAACCTCATCAACCCATGTGACACCTGGCATATGAATTGGACTCGAGCAGGGCTCATCATCCGTACATAAACAATTACCATCATCTTATACCAAATTGCCCCACCGATCGCCACATTTCTTCTCCCCTAACACGCCCTCGGCCGGAAAACAATAGATATGCTCTTTTGTCTGTTGATGTTCGGATTCATTTGTTCTTGAATTACATGAAATGGTGGTAAATAAAGTGAGGTCATTTTGGACATGTGAATTTGTCGTCCACATTTTCAGCATTCTTTCTCCTTGCAATCGCTAAATTCGGGGCAAAATGCCCTGGTTTTAGATTTTGCTTGTATAAAAAATAAGAAATATCCATCCAATCTTTACTCATTAGTGGTACAAATTTGCTTCCCATATAACATGGTAATTAAGTCGCCAGGAGATAAGTAACCATACAAAGCAGAAACATCCAAAACCTCTAAACTGTTTTCCGTAAGTCATAAAATAAGAATATAGAGTATAGATTATAAACAACATTATCAAATATAAGATCCATTCTTTAAAGAATTCATAAATTTATTATCAACACTCTCAAAGATCACAAACTTCCAAGCTTCAATCCAGAAGAGGTGGCATATATTGAAAAGTTGGGGTGCTTATTTAAAGCATTATTTTCCTTACAAATCATTTCTGTTCTTCAAGTATATAAGAAAGTTCATAAAAATTTGTCATATTTCTATTCCTTAAGCAAACAGATTATGACATTGTTTATTTGATTTCCTGTGTTTGTTTACTTATCATGGTAGCCTTTCTACACACTTGATTAAGCACTACATTTTTTAGGTGCTCAAATCATTATTTATTAGCAATGTAAAAATCATATACCAGAAAGCTCGGCATTTAATCGAACACTTGTTTACTTATCATGGTAGCCTTTCTACACACTTGATTAAGTACTACATTTTTTAGGTGCTCAAATCATTATTTATTAGCAATGTAAAAATCATACCAAAAAGCTCAGCATTTGATCGAACACTTGCTATGCATTGCATTTACACAGGCACCAAAAAAGATTTAGTTGTCTGTCAGACAACCATGTAGCCATGCCAGGACCCATCAAGATGGATTGGCAATGTGGGATGTCGCTTCTAGATTCTTGAGTTACCTTGTGACCTTGTGTATAAACTGGTAAGAAATTAAGTGGAACTAATTCACAGACGATTTAATCTTTACTTACTTTTTAACTGTCTATATTTTTGGACTTTTCTGCCTTACTAAATTAAAAATATTATAATTATAATTATTAATAAATCTATCTCAAGTTAATATTTTACTAATCGATATGATCTATTTATCTTTCTCTTTTACGTATAATCATATATAGTTCGAGTATTTCAATTTCTGTTACTTATTATCTATTTATCTTTCTCTTTTATCCCACCCATCACATTTTTTTTTCTCCCCTACACACCCTTGGTGGGAAACCAGTAAATATGCTATCTTGGCTGTTGATGATGAGTTCCATTTATTGTTCTTGAATCAAAGATATTATATGGTAGTTATACTCATGACCAAAAATGTAATTTTCTCTAGATTAAATAACGCCACCATAAAATTCAATAAGCAACTAAGTTGAGGCTCAAATTTCCCAAAGTAAACAAGAAGTCTGACTATAGTTATCATATGTCAAAAACTACACATTTTTTGGTATACCATGCTCTTATCTCTTTAAAAATTATAATTTTTAACATCTAATAAATAACAGTAGCAAACTCCATGCTCTTATCTCATTTAAACATTGTTCATTTTTGGAATTTCTTTATGACATTGTTTATTTGATTGCCTATGTTTGTTTACTTATGAGGCATGCGATTTCCTTGGGTTAAAGATTTCATGTTGGTCATGGGATCAATGATACCCAAAAATACATGTAAAAAGAGGTTCAAAGTCAATGGAACCCTTTCAAAGAGTTTTCCAAGAAGTTATCATGGTAGTCTTCCTACACACTTGGTTAAGTATTCCAATTCCTTTAGGTTATTAATACAAACGTGCCAAGGGAAAAATGGCCATACATTATACATAAGTACTGATAGAGAAAATGTTACTTAAATCATGACCAATGTACAGTCGCTTATACATGAATACAAGTCATAGTAGCATTCTTGTTTTTCTTAGCTCGTTACAATGCCAATGGAACTTGATGAAGCCAAAATCATACCAGAAAGCACCATCATCATAATCTGGTTCAGGCATTTCATCGAACACTTGCTTTGCATATAGCATATACAAACTGGCCACATAACCTGGATGAGCAAGAACATCACGAAAATGACAGCATAAAAAAGACTCTTTGATCATAATCTCCTTCAGCATTTCATCAAACACTTGGTTTGCATTAGAAAAGGGACCAAAAAAAATGAAGTTATCTGTCAGACAACCATGTGTAGCCATGCCAGGACCCATCGGATGGATTAGCAACGATCATCTACTGAGCCATAGCCGAGACCATGAAGTTCTGTTAATCACGCTCTAGCTACATGGTCGTGGTTCATCAACCACGACATGGGTTTCTGTCTTCTTAGGAATCAAGAATACAGAGGTACGAGCCTATAGAACAGATCCTGTTCAAGTAAGGTCGTGCTTATCAATCTCTCCGACTCTGATATATCCCCGATTTATTTGCACCTCGGAGGCGATGTGGGATGTGGCTTTTACATTCTTGGCTCTCCTGGTATAAAGGGACTGGTAAGAAAATTGAGGAGAACTCATTCACACACTTTAATCTTTAGTTACTTTTTAACGGTCTCGTTTTTCCGTTTTAGTTTATCTTTTCCCTTTTACATATAAAATCATATATAGCAAATTTTATTATTTTTAAGATTATAAAAAATTTAAACTACTTTTATTTTTCAAATAAACTAAAACTTGGTATAATATTGTAGGTGCGGTGGTTCATAACATGACATGAGAAAAATACACGACACGGAACAAAAATTAGGAAGGGATTGAAATTATGAAATAATATTCGTGTCGTTTTCATACGATGTCATGTCATGTCGTGTTCGTTTGACATCGTGTTCGTGTTCAAAATTCTACATGAAATTAACAAGATAGTAACACGTGTTTGTCATATTTTCTTATTTTTCGTGTTTTGTAAGATTAATTTTGAATTAGATAAACTTGAAGTTTATCGTATTGTATCTTTTTCTTGTTTGCCATTTTTATCATGTTTTGTTGTTAGTGTGTCGGAAAGGGTTGTGGTGGAGAACGGAATTTCCAATGGATCGCATGAGTTCGCTTTTCGAATTGATATTCTCACCCTATGTTCGAGTTACAGAAAATTCATTATAGGATAATCCAAAAGGACATTTGTGAATCTAGTTACAAAGACACAAATCAAATTACTAGACGATTCTGAGTTCATTATAGAAGAAAGAGAGCTGAGAGAAAAGGGCATAATCCACGACTCAATAGAGGAGTCATATTTATACTTTGACAGATTAGAGTTTTCGTCTTCTAAATTAGTTAAGAGAATCACCGACAAGGGCTCTGTCCCTTGGATCCCGCTAGGGGGCGTTGCCCTTAGGACCCTGAAAAGGAGCGCGACCTCCTTGACCCATGTCATTTTGTTGTACCGGCTTATAAATCAATCTTATATATGCACGCACTCCGCATTCACTAAACGTATAATATATAATACAAAATAATAAGTTTTTCAGCTCACATATTAGTTCCAATTACACAAAATATCTTGTGATACTAAAATCACTAACATTAATAAACAAAACACGATATCGTATCGTGTTCATGTTGTATAAAAGTTATTGTGTCAGAAAAAAAAAACACAAGACAAATGCCTAATTTGTTCGCGGTGCTTAAAAGATCACATTTTTTTCTACGGGGTGGGGATTTTAGTATATCATAAAGTGATTGCACTTTGTTTTTGCCATTATAAGATCGGTTATTCAAAAAAAAAAAAAAGTGCTCATGTGTATACCATAAAAAGTGTCAGTCTTACATCTTAAACAACTTCCTACAAGCAATTAATAACCATAAAACCCTTTACTCCGAAATAACAAGGAACAAAATCCTCGAAATTAAAAGACAACATATAAGCGTTCCTCCTACTAAACACGATCGAACAACCAATTCTCGTATCCTCGGTGTCAATGAACTAAAGCAACAAAGAGCCACCTCTAAAATCGATTCTCCATCAAGATAATACACCTATACAACAACAACAATACACAAAAATCTTATTAATTTATACACAATATTAATAATATTCTTAATTGATAATATATAATCATCAAGACTACATACCGGCAAACTATTTAAAAGAGCCAACATCAATGACACATGAAAGATATTCACCAACAACTTCTCCACTACAACTGGAAAATACACAACACCATAAAACCAACGAGACTGATAGTTCGTTACCCTAATCGAACGTGCCATTGATATTATATCACCTACAAACACAAAACTCCCACCACATTTATTTTCTTTATTACCACATTCATGTCTCGAAAATGTGATCTCAACCCATGTGACACCTAGCGTGTGAATTGGACTCGAGCACGACTCATCATCTGTACATAAACAATTACCATCATCTTTTACCAAATTGCCCCACCCATCGCCACATTTTTTCTCCCCTAACACGCCCTTGGCCGGAAAACAATAGATGTGCTCTTTTGTCTGTTGATGATTGGTTTCATTTGTTCTTGAATTACATGATATGGTGGTGAATAAAGTGAGGTCGTTTGGACATGTGAATTTGTTGTCCGTGATTTCAGGATTCTTGCTTCCCGCAATCATTAAATTCGGGACACAATACCCTTTATTTGTTTGAGATTTTTGCTTGTCTAAAACATAAGAAATATTCATCCATTCTTTTGTTGTATGAACGTGGGCCCCGTCTAACATTGTGATTATGTCACCGGGAGATAAGTGGCCATACAAAGGTGACTTAGGAGAAACATCCAAAACCTATAAAATGTTCCCAAAGTGAAAAAATATATATACTATAGATTAGAGTAAGTTACATTTTTGGTCCCTGCGTATAGCTGAATTTGTAAATTTGGTCCCAAATTATTCTCTTTCATTTTTTATTCTTATTTGATGTTTTTTGACTTTTTGTAATGTTTTTGATCCATGTTTAAAGTAAAATGACTATACTTTTGGGACCAAATTTGCAAATATCAGGGACCAAAAATAGTCATTTTACTTGGAACAGGGATCAAAAACATTACAAGAACCTTAAATAAGGACCAAAATTGCAAGAGAAACCTTTTTGGAACCAAAATTGCAAAAGTAATGATTAAAGCAAAAATGGTGAAGTACCATGAGGCTTTCACCATGGGAGTAAAGTGGATAGAAGATGAATGGTAGAAGGAAGAGAGTCAACGCACAAACAAGACATAACTGCAAAAATGGAGTCAGACACATGTTGAATCAGGGAAAAGAAAGGGTAATAATGTAATTTGGTATGGTGTGCAATGTGTTAACTTACTGCTGCATTATGCCAGATTCCTGCACAGTATATTCTAAGTGTAGCTACACGTGGGATCATTTGTAGCAAATCATCATTGAAGGCAACAAGTGCACCTGGAAACAGAACTGCCAAAAACACGGCAGTGTACTCAATTTGTATGCCCTCACTGCTACCCACAAAATGGATGCCTACAGGATCAGTTATGAGATCCATTTTCTAAATAATTTATAATAAATTAATTCAATATGTAAAGAGACATAACAAGAATGAGATTGATGTGATAACCTTGTGGCAGAAAGTGCGTGTCCAAGTTCATGTATGGATACAGATATTATGGAAGATATGCACATGTATCCAATATCAGCAACTGTTATGTTGTATAGTGAAGAGTAGGATCCGAAGATGGATCCATTAAGAATATTGTTGAGCCATGGGATGCCATTGTATAGATTCAAAGCTCTGGCTGATTCCAATAAGATAATCTGTTCAATAAATTGAAAGAAAAGGTTTATGATTCTGATATGGAAAGAACATTTAGTAAGAATGTGTGTTTCTTACGAGCGTAACTCCAATCAAAGTAGTCAAACTGAAACCCATCCCGATTGAGAACCATATTCTTAACCACCTACAATCAGATGAAGGAGCAAGAAGCAACTTAGTTCAAGCTTCAATTTTCAGCTCAAGATAATGAATCTCAGAATGTGTATACAGGAAGAAATACTATGAGATTTTAAGTCGTTTTGGATTCAGAACGGAATAGATGAGCTATAATTCCTATCCGATGCCTTAAACTCCATGTTTCCGAACCCTAATTGAATTTTTAATACCACGACTTGATACGACACTGACTGGGGATAAATATAGACCTGAAGTATTTTCGTCCGAATTGAAAGAGAGGTTCGTTGAAGACAGACGACTTGAAGTCACAGTACCTGAAAAAGCACCAATCAATTGTAGAAATATAAGCGGAAACACGAATAAACATATGAGGATGATGATGGTGATAGTGATAATGATGCATACCAGCAGGAAATGGAGTTTGAGAGGTGGGAGGAGACACGGCGGAGTGGAAGAAGGGTACGTGGGGTTGCTCCTCCCCCAGTTCTCCTTCCGGTCCTTCTCCCTCGTTGAAGCTGAATGTTGCCCTCCGTCATTGATGGATTTGAGCACTGCTGAGCTGAAATTTCCTAACTCGCTTAAAGGCAATTGGTTGTATATAGATTGTTGTCTTTTTAGGGTTAATTGCAAATTTAGTCCCTGCCAGATTTGGTCCTCAAAAAATCCGAATTACCAATTTCAATCCTTGATACCGAGCTAAGTTGTTTTGGCCTTGTTTATTGCAACTATAAATATTAAATAATCAAATTATTTGGTAATATAGGTGAAATTTAAAATAAAAAAATTAAAAAAAAATCATAGATGGTGGAATATACAATAGAAGATAATTTTTTTTGGAAAAAATATATTGTAGCACAACCAACTTTTTGTTTTGTCCCATATTGTTCACTAATGTTTTATTTTTGCGCAATAGGTCACTAAATTTGTAAAATCGATATCAATTAAGGTCCCGTTTGATAGTTGTTGTCCGGGAAAGTCCTTATGGGAAAGTCCTGTATGGGAAAGTTTTATGACTGAGAAAGAAACCATGTTGTTTGATTGTATATCTGATTGACTTTGTTGAATAATGAAAAATGACCATATTAACCTGCTATTCTATACTGTGATGGATGAAGTTGCTGAATGATTATAAAAACATACAAATTGTCATACAAAATCAAAATTACACAATAATCATTTAAAATTTTAAATACAAATTGTCATACAAAATAATTAAACATAAATCAATTAAAATCCAAATAGAATGTCGATGAGGTTGTTAATTTATTCTTTTTCAAGCTGATGTTATGTTGTTATTATTTCTATCCAATTTAGTTATTTTTTATAACCCAGCATGTGATTCTTCACTCGGTTTATGTCCGATAGTAGTAGGATAGATGAGATTTTTTATAATAAATTAGGATGATGGTGTTGTTAAAAAAACGAATCCAATAAAAATGAATTTAAAAAGTTAACTAAAAGAAATTAATAATCCAATAATATTTATTAATATATAAATATTATATATTATAAATAATATTTATTTATATATAATAATCCAATAAAAGAG